GCGAATGTCGGTGATTTTAAAGTAATTTTGAGTGATAAATAATTTTTTTTTTGCAATCATTGCACTTGCAATGAAAATTTGTACTCTCCCAACAATAAAAACTACTTGCCCCGGGCGATCGGGCAATGGTTAACATCGAGCCCTGCATTAGTTTGCTGCCGCCCTGATGTAACCAGCTGCCCACCTGCTTGTACCTTGAGAAAAAAGAAAAAACAATGAGAGAGAGCGCCTTATCTTGACGCCAGAGCAGATTTTACTGCATAGATCTCCTTTTTTTTATTCAAGTATCCTTTCGGTTCAAAGGGATCTAAGCGGTTGCGTACTCTGCTTTGCAACATAAGCACCTCTCTGCCCTTTATAGACAGAGAACACAAAAGCTTTTTAAAATCATTGTTGACATTTTACTCAAAAACATAAACATCGATAGATAAAATATAATGAATTTCAGAGGGTGAATTTTGAATCCCTCATTATACCCCAGCTAAGTTTCCAAAGGTTAGAGGCAAACAGTCAATTAACACACATTCGATACCACCAGGATAATTACCCTTACATTCTGGATCCAAAAGGGTTTTTAATGAAGTCTCTTATTGATGAAGTAGATCTGTGTGTCTGACACTTGAACGCTTGAATAAAGAGACGGAGCCCAGAGAGGCCGCTCCCAGATGTCACAATTAGGAGCAGCTCAAAGGTCAGGCCAGATTTCGGGCCCTGCTGCGTTATTGAAAATCAAATCTACTGTAAAGATCTTGGAAGGCCATCGACCTGTCGCCGTTTTCTAAAAAAGGCACAAAGAATCAGGGATGACAAAGGACAAACAGGCACCTGAGACGGGACTGAGCCCACAGCCAGAGCTTCAAGCTCTAAAGTAGGATTGGCAGAAAATGTCAAGCCCGACACGTCGGCGCTGAAGCACAACACACAGAAGACAGATGTCAGCGTCTGCATGATAAGGACAGCTTAAGAGAAGGAGAAGGAAGAGTGCTTCAGAGGGTTATGTCATCCCCTCATGAATCTATTTCAGATTGGGCGCCATTGCTGATCTCATCCAAATACCCCTCACCTGACCTATCACCTAAATTCCCTGAGCTTGAAAGCAGCTTTCTGATAATATTTACCTCTTTTCTCTCTTTTAGGTTCAGTCAGGGTCACTGTGTTTTTTCTTACCTAGCTGGTGTTAAATCAAACCTTCTGGTCTGGGCCTTCACCAGGGTCAGATGTCCCTGGAGGCAAAGGCGTACTGCATGTTAATGACTCCATGAATACCTTCGCTTTGACCTCCAGACTCTGCTTCATCTCCCCAGATTATTGCAGAGCTTCAAGTTTGTTTTTTTATTTGTTGCATTCATTGGATTTTTGACCGAATGTTTTTGTGGTTTTTCAGGGCGGTGCTCCTGTGGCGCACCCGGAGGACGAACTAGAACGTCTGACCAAAAAGATGCTGTTCGACATGGACAACCCTCCCTCCGAGGAATATTTCGGTAAGATTTTGCAGCTTATCTCAGCCACAAATGTTCCTCTTCTTCCTGTTGTGCTCAAAGTTAATGACTTAATTTATGGTGGAATTTCAACTAACTGGTAAGGCTGAAGGATTCTTTTAATGGTTTAGCCATTTAAGTGTTTTATAGATAGTTTTACCTTTTATATCAGAAACAGATGTTATGTTTTTTTAAACCAGATTCTTTTCATGGAACCCTGAGCTCTGCTATACTCAGCCAGCCAAAGGTTGTTACCAGTGCTAAATGGGTTATGCTGCTATTGTACAGGGGCATATACAGGAAGTCTTTACCTGTGGCCTCACTGCAGCTAGCCTCTGCTTATTTACCATATAAGTGATATAAAAAAATGCAGAAGGCTGGGGGAGAAATTCGAGAATATATTTCCAGAATCTACTCCTGTATCTTCTCATGCAAATTCTTCAGTTGTGTCTCGCACACAGGATCATTTTGGTCCTTATCAGTCACGGAAATCTTTCTGAAACCAACTATAAGAGCTGTTAGATTGTACGTAATGAGACGGATTTAGCTTAGATGAATGAAATTAAGAGGTAGCTCATCAACTGGGTAGAGGAGAGCACTTGTGCTCTGAAGAAGACTTCAAGTACTGCAGGAGAGATGGTTGTGGATTATAAGAAGAAACAGGAACAAGTTGAAAGCTGTCAGCATCATGGGGGAAAGACTAACGATTATTTTGCAAATCAATTAACCTGTTATCCATCCATTTCCATTTTCCGTCACGCTTATCCCAAAAGGGGTCGCGAGTGCTGGGTGCTGGTGGTTGCTGGGGTCCATCCTGGACAGGTCGCCAGTCCATCACAGGGCAACACAGAAACAAACAGGACAAAAAAACATTCACACACACAGTCACACCTAAGGAGAATTTAGAGAAGCCAATTAAGCTAACAGTTATGTTTTTGGACTGTGGGAGGAAGCTGGAGTACCCGGAGAGAACCCACGCATGGAACATGGAGCACAAAATCTCACTTTTCTGTTGCTTTCTCAATCTCAAACATAGACATCTGTTAAATGTATACTATGCAACCGGTGTTGATTTTCCAGCGAGGCTCCCCCCAGAGGGCGAAAGTAAAAGTGCACTGTCGTAAATATGCTCAGCTGTTC